GACACAGTATTTTATGGCAGGTCTGTTTTGTTACCTGCTCTGTATGACCTTGAGCTCCTTTTATTTCAGATATACCAGTATATCCAGAGTCGTTTTTATCGATCACCAGAGGTGCTACTGGGAATGCCTTATGATCTTGCAATTGATATGTGGTCCCTTGGGTGTATTTTAGTTGAGATGCACACTGGAGAGCCTCTGTTTAGTGGGGCAAATGAGGTATGTTACCTACAAGTAATCTGATTTTTTTTGTTGTTGTTCATTCCCATCATGATTTTCATCTGTTTAATTGCAATGCATAAATCAGGCAAGGCTGGTAATGCTAAAATGATTAAACATCAGTGTCTTGTCAGAACTCTAAATTGCCTATTAGTAATTGTCTGTTTCTCCCTCTTGCTCCTTCTTCACTAATTTGTTTTCTACATAATAGATTTTCCTTAGATTAATTAATTGAGAGCTTGTGTGAGTAGCTGACACTGGTGACACTGCTCAGCTGTGTGTCACATGTTCCTCACAAATCCTCTTTGCTTGGAACAGGTGGATCAGATGAATAAAATAGTGGAAGTCTTGGGGATTCCACCAACCCACATCCTCGACCAAGCACCAAAAGCAAGAAAGTTCTTTGAGAAGTTGCCAGATAGCACTTGGAACTTGAAGAAGACCAAAGATGGAAAAAGGGTAGGTTTAATAATTAGAATGATAGTATAATAGAATAGAAAAACTGTGAGATGTTACTTTGTTTTGCATCTCAGTTGAGCTTTATCGTTTATTATTGTTCCATCTTGTTTCATTAGCACTTTCTGTGGCATCAGATCGTTTCTTTCTTTGATGTGACTTGACTTCCTTCTGTGTTTAAACTCTGCACACCCAAGGCTTAACACACAACTTGATTTCAAGCCATTTCTACCTTCCCAACAGGAATACAAACCACCCGGAACTCGGAAGCTTCACAATATCCTGGGAGTGGAAACAGGAGGACCAGGTGGCCGTCGTGCTGGGGAATCGGGTCATACTGTAGCTGACTACTTGAAGTTCAAAGACCTCATCTTAAGGATGCTTGATTATGACCCCAAGACACGAATCCAACCCTATTATGCCCTGCAGCATAGCTTCTTTAAGAAAACAGCAGACGAAGGTACAAACACGAGTAACAGTGTGTCCACGAGTCCTGCCATGGAGCAGTCCCAGTCTTCAGGAACCACCTCTAGTACATCTTCAAGCTCAGGTGAGTTCTTCTCATTAGCAGGTCACAGATATGTTTCCTAGTTGCATCCGAGGGAGTCTTTCCCAGATAAATCACCAGAGGTTGTTCGGGCACTGGAGCAGCTCCCCAGGGCAGTGGTCATGGCCCCAAGCCTGGCAGAGCTCAAGGAGTGTTTGGACATCACTCTCAGGCATATGGTGGGATTTCCCCCTGTGAGGACAGGCTTGTGGTCCTTTCCACCTGAGGATATTCCATGATTCTATGAAATGTCCTTTTTATTCCCTCCTGTTAAAAACCCAAATATGTCACTCAAGCTTATCAGTCAGTTATTGAACAGCCAGAACAGGTAACACCTGTAATACAAAATAAAAGCTAAATGAGCAAAATATGAGTGATATTTTTACCTTGAAACACTTGATGTATCTTTATGCTGCCTTTGTTTTATAGCTGTAAGTTTGGTGTCTCTACTTATTGTGCATATTATGATTTTCCAGGTGGATCTTCTGGAACAAGCAACAGTGGAAGGGCACGGTCGGACCCCACACACCAGCATCGACATAGTGGTGGACACTTCACTGCTGCTGTTCAAGCTATGGACTGTGAAACACACAGCCCACAGGTATGCTGAAGTAGGGCTGGTTCAGTAGTATTTTATTGTAGCTCAGAGCAGAAAAAACTGCACATTCTCCATGCAGACAATTTAGGTAGACAAATTGGTGTGTAGATGGAGCTTGTTACTCAGGGAAGCTTTGGTCAGCTGTGTTGTTGCAGAGGTGTGGGTAGTGCTCCTCTAGTGCTGTTGGCACCATTCAAGGTATAAACTATAACATAATAATTTACCTTAGTTTGCTTATTGTCTGCAGAGGTCTCAGCCAGAGGTCAGGGCCTTGTTGTTCCACATGTTGTACAAATATCCTGTTGTTTATTGCTACTATTACTTAAAGCTGCTTCTGTAATCCAGACAACAAGGTCACATGTCAGACTGACTGAAACTGTTTGAAAAAAACATCCAGAATGTTCTTGACCAGGTGACCCACCGTGGTCCCTTCCAGCCTAACTGATTCTGTGGTTCTGTAATGTTAATTCATTTTTCTTAAGGTTTATTTAGAGAAGTATTTGAAATGATTCTTAACTATATTCTTGCATTTCTGGAATAATTTTGCATGATTATTATAGTTAAATTTGGCTTAGGTAACTCTTTTGAAAGCTAGCACAGATATCAATAACTTCATCTCTCACAGATTGCAGATGTTCAGGGACCAACTGGATGTGGCACTTAGTGCTCTGATCTGGTTGACAATGTGGCAATTGGTCAACTCAACTACTGTGTCCAGTTCTGGGCCCTCTCTGCAGGAGAGACATTGAGGGGCTGGAGGTGTCCAGGGAAGGGCCTGGAGAGTCAGTCATGGGGGGAGTGGCTGAGGGAGCTGAGGGGGCAAGAGGAAATGGCCTCAAGCTACACCAGGGGAGGTTCAGGTTGGACATCAGGAATAATTTCTTCATGGAAAGAAGTGCTAAGCATTGGAATGTTCTTCCCAGGGAGGTGGTGGAGTCACCATCCCTGGAGGGGTTCAAGAAGTGACTGGACATGGCTCTTGGTGCTCTGGGCTAGCTGACAACATGGTGATTGGTCAATAGTTTGACTTGATGATCTTGGATGTCTTTTCCAATCTAAATAACTCTATGAAATGGACAGATTGGAGTTATGCATTTTAATGTTGCCTTTGCTTTTTACCAGGTTCGACAACAGTTTCCTCCTCCGATTGGTTGGACAGCCACCGAGGCTCCTACACAGGTCACTGTTGAAAACCATCCAGTTCAAGAAACCACCTTCCATGTAAACCCTCAACAACAGAATGCATTACATCATCACCATGGAAACAGCTCTCACCACCACCACCATCACCACCACCACCACCACCATCATGGACAGCAAGCCTTGGGCAGCCGGACCAGGCCGAGAGTCTACAATTCTCCAACAAACAGCTCCTCCACCCAGGATTCTATGGAGGTGGGCCACAGTCACCACTCCATGACATCCCTGTCTTCCTCAACTACTTCTTCCTCTACATCTTCCTCCTCTACTGGTAACCAAGGCAATCAGGCCTATCAGAACCGCCCAGTGGCTGCTAATACCTTGGACTTTGGACAGAATGGAGCTATGGACATGAATTTAACAGTCTACTCTAATCCGCGCCAAGAAACTGGCATAGCTGGACATCCCACGTACCAGTTTTCTGCTAATACAGGTCCTGCTCATTACATGACTGAAGGACACCTTGCCATGAGGCAAGGGATCGATAGAGAAGAGTCTCCCATGACAGGAGTTTGTGTTCAGCAAAGTCCTGTGGCTAGCTCGTGACTAAACTGAAACTCAGTTTGTTTCTTGTGTGTTTTTATAGAAGTGGTGTTTTTCCAAAAAAAAAAAAAACAAAACAAAGTGCAAAGCTGCTTGAATC